TTTTCCCTCTGCCTATATTCGACCTCGGCAAAAGATCGTTAATCTCACTTTTGACCTGGGACACGCATACAATGAATTGGTTTCACGAATTACCTTTTCACCTCGTTACACGATCGATAGTGAGGAATTTTTGAATATGCATACTGTTACGACCCAAATCTTTTTAATAATTATTATTTTAATTTAAATATTATCGATTCTTTGCCCTCATTCTGAATAATTTTTATAATAGTAATTATAAAAGAATTCAAAATTACGCGAGTTACCAAAAACTATGTGACGCGTATGACTATTGTCTAGCAGACGACAAAACCGCATTTCTTATCTAGAATAAAATTTAATCAATTAACTGGAATATAATTGGCTAATTTATAATCACATGATTGCGGATCCTTTGAAATTCCTTAGGATAAAGATACCTCGTCTTATTAAATCGTCACTGATCTGGTGAAACAAAACTTAAACCTAATTTATCTCGAAAATATAACACTTTTATTAAAGTATGACTCTTTACCGGAAAAAATAATTATCTCAAGTATTTAAATTTAAAAAATTATGTAAATTCATAGAGAATTGTGGCGTTAGAACGGAATTTTATAAGTAAATATTGTGCACTTGTAGGAAATGACAGCCATGTTGTCTGTGATTTTGGGTCCATTGTAGGTATCTGACATCTGTTGGCGAGCAGGCGTAGTAGTTTACTTACCGTGCTTTACTTATCAAGCTCGCCAACAGATGTCAGATACGTACATTGGACCCAAAATCACAGACAACATGGCTGTCATTTCCTACAAGTTCACAATATTTACTTACAAAATTTCGTTCTAACGCCACAATTCTCAATGAATTTGCATAATTTTTTTTAGATTTAAATACTTGAGATAATTATTGTTTCCGATACAGAGACATATTTTAATAAAAGTTTACGAGCTAAATTAGGTTTAAGTTTTATTTCAATTCCGCAACACCTTTATTTCACTATAGAGTGATAGCCGGAGTATATTTCTTCTTTTTCGTCCTTGTAAATATGGTTTGAAGTTACTTTATTTTTATCATATTCTTGATAAAATAAAATATTTAAAAAGAGAAATTAAAAGTGAAACAAAAAGTGTCAGTCTTTTATAAAAAAAAAATCAATAACCCAATGGGGCAATATCAAGAAAATTCCCGAGGAGACTGAAATGGCAAGATCAATCTTCCTTGAATCGTGAGAGGAATACTCTCTCTCTCTCCCGGTATAATAATTTGTCGCGAGAGACGACACGTTTATTATTCCTGAGAAAATGTAACATCCGTAGTTTTGTTCCAGGTGCTTCATTTCGCTAGTGGAAGAATAGTATATGTCTGCTCTCTTCAGTCCCTAATCTCATACCGCGCCGGTGCCTTTCTTTGAGCTCTCTGAAGGTTATATATTGGACGGCTACGTGCCTCTGATGAGACTCGTTAGTTATTTTATCAGCCATTCAGCACCAGCTCGTGCTTTAAAATAACACAGAGCATTGACTTTTTCTTTCGTTTTAATTTTTCTTTCGCTATTTTTTTTTTTTTTTTTGAAGTAGAAAGAAAAAAAGATTATACGTCAATTGACCTCTCGATTCATCGTTAGTCAATCATTATTAATGCAATTCTCCGCAATACTTCAGATTAATCATTTTTCTTTTCAAATTGCATTTATCTCAAACCATTAATCTTTTTAATGTCTGTGAAAAATTTTAAAATACCATTCTATTTATTTCTGTACATCCATTTACATTAATTTTAAGAAAATATTTTTATCAGAGCCAATTTAATATTCCTATCTTTAAAATCAGAAATTCTTTTTTCTATATAATTTTGATTTCTCATTTAGATTAAAAAATAAATTAGAATCCTACAGCTTTTTATTAATATGTTAACTTCTTTTTCTTTTTTATTGATGACAAAACATTAAGGAAAACCATATAATTAATGACAGTAGGAAAATATGTGTAAATTAAGGTATAAAGGAGGTAATAATTTTTCTTTTACTAGGTCATGTGGCGAGAGAGATTTGAAATAAATTCGTTAAATGATAAATATTCTGCATGAGAGGCGGAACAAGACCATATCTCGAATCACTCGTTACGCCCATTTTAGTTGACTTTTTGAGTAATATGCAAATTTATCGTTAGGCAAATGTTTCGTCATCAGATTTGGAAATTTCATGTAAAACCACGCAAACTTCTGATTTCGTTGAACTATTTTTATTTCTAATTAATCTCGTAACGTTTTAAAAATTCTTTATTTTTAAAAAAAAAAAAAGTTTTCACTTTATTTTAATAAATCTAAAAATACTTCCATTTTAACTCAAGATAATTGATTTAATTTTTTTTTGTCAAAATTATATTTTAATATAATTTTCAGTATTTTAAGAATTGACACAGAAATTTTAATTTAAAAATTATATTTTTAAATATTGTTTATATATATTTTCACTCTATTTCTGAATATTCCCTTTAAATTTATATGATCTAATTTTATTTTTAAAACACGATATACTAGTCATAATGAAATACTTCGTTTTATTATTTTCAAATATCTTGTGTGTCACATTTGTCACTTAATCCAATTATAAATTCTCTTTGAAATATTTTTCAAGATTCTTTCTATATATAAGAAAAAGATTGATCTTCGTCGTCATTTTATTCGTTCTCTTGATTAAATCAACCCCAATTTCGTCTTTCATCCCCGCGTTCGGATCTTGAAGACGACGAAAGGTGAAAAGTACCATTTGGCTTCAACTTAAATCCTCAGCTGGAGAATAAAGTTGGCGCAAATGTTTCTAGCTGTAATAAAGCTCACGACGTAAAACGGTCCAGTTTCAAGTGCGCCCTGAGTTGTCCTTTATATACTTTTGCGCTAATTTACTCTTTCTCCTGTTTTTCAACGAAGACGATGAAGACGAAGTGACCTGTTTCTCCATTGTCTTCTTTTTTTTCACCCGCTTAAATTTTCCCTCGTATGCTTATCCCTTTTCTCTTTTTTTTACCCTTTTTCTTTTATTTATTTTTTCCCCTTTGTCTTATATTCTCTGTCTTCCTCATTTTTTCGTTTTACTTTTTACGTTTTTATTTTCATTTGCTTTTTTTATTCCTTTTTTTTTCTTTATTGTTTTAGTATAAGATTTACTTTCTCGTTTATTTATTTTAATTATACGTATTTGTTACATTTTATTTTAATTTTCTATTTTGCAATGACCCAAAAATAGTTTCAATTATCATTTTTCTTCGATTTCATTTCTTAATGAATAAAATTAATATTTATTTTTATAATATAAATATTTATTTAATTACAATTATTTTTTTATAAATATATAGTTTTTTCGTAAATTTGAATTACGCGGGCTTTCAAACTAGATGGCGCGCGTGAATATTGTCTAGCAGACGACAAAACGATACTATGCGCACGCATAGCTATTATAACCTTATTTTTCAATGAGACAATGAGAATCATACTTGTTAATTAAAGTTCTAGACATGTACTTTTAGGTAATAAATAATATTTTTTTTTTTGAAAAAATTCATGGTTTATTAAGAAAACATTATTTATTTTTAAATGATGTAACGTTAATATATAAAATAATCGGTTTAAGATGCATTCAAGAACGAATTCAAATTAACATGTGAATTATAAATAATATCAAATTATGTATTTATTTAACTTTCCACATATTTTAAATTCTGTATTTATTTTTTTTTATTTTTTTTTAGTTACCGACTATCGCAAGTGTTTTGTGGCTTCGGTCATATTTTCCTTTTCCTTTATCTCGGTGATCTTTTACGCAACACGATGGAGCCCATGCCTGGATAGGTTTGCCCTTCTTGACAACTTCTAGTCGCAAAGTTTACGGTGTACCCGCAACATTGAGTTTAACCGCTATTTTTCCCCCATGATAAATGAAATTGTTTCACGACTGGCGCTGCAAGAGCTCTCTCGTCTCTTCTATAGCCGTTCCTCAACTTTACGCCAATTTATAATATGCTCTCACTACACTGCACCATGAATCTTGCAGATGTTCTTTACTAGGCTGCTTCTAAAAATAATATTCTTCGTCGCTTAAAATATTTTTTATCAAAAAAACAAAAAAAAAAACAAAAATAGTTAAATTCAATTAAATTTTACATTAACTTATTAATATGTTAAATATTTAATACGTAATACCATTTGTTCACATCGTGTGACAATAATATATATTTATAGAAATGTTCTGATAAAAATTAATTAATTATAACATAATTTAACTTATTTAATATGTTACAAGAAAATATACTTGTCAATGTTACTTAATGAAATTAAATTTCTGATCGATTAATTATTGGTATAAAATTAAATTTGTATCGATACAATTGCGAGGAAAGATTGATTCAATAGTTTGTGAATATTTTATTAATATTGCTAATTCAGTTTAACAGAATTATACAAATTTAAACATTTAGATACAAATATAAATATATTTTTAAAATAGTAATATATAATCAAAAGTAAATAAATAGGTATGAAAAGAAAATTTTATCTTAAAATTTGGATAAAATTGAAGGATATATAAAAATCGGTTGTTCTAAATCTTTGATGATTTTTTTTTTAAAAAGTGTCTTTAAAGACATTTAAGAAGAGAGATAAGGGACAAGAGATGTATAGGAAAAACTCGTTAAATTGTGATAACTCTATCTACATGTAAATCTAATCTGGCAGACAAGCCACGACGATATCAAACCCCCGTTTAACATTGTCGATCCCCAAACTCTCTATAAGTTGGTGACTTAACCATAGTCGGAGGCTTACCATAACGGTTTCGCATACTAAGTTAACACCTTTACCTTAGAGAGACAGAGAGAGAGAGAGAGAGAGAGATTTAAACCACGAGTCAATTCTCAATCATCCCTTGTTTAATTTCACATTTTTCTAAATTATATTTATTTTTCTTTCTAATGTCACTTAAATTTTACTTAATTATAATTAATTAAATTATATTTCTGTTACAGTTCCAATTACACCGGTAACTGGTGTTACTGGCAGGCAGGTTCAACTTCCATGCAATATCCATTCGTCGCATAATGATGCTGTTGTCATGGTTCTCTGGTATAAAGAAGAAAGCAATGAACCAATTTATAGGTAAACTTTATTCAAACTATATTTTATTTGAAAATTTAAATTATTTAATTTCTCGATGATTAAATTGTTCTTTTTTTCAGAAAAAATTGTAATTCTAGTTTTTAAAAATTCGCGGGTAAATATTTTGTAAAAATTTATTCTTAGTGTTACCGACCGTAGAAAACGATATCGTAGTACACGATCACGCCGCACGCGCTGTTTCGCAGAACTCTCACGCATGCGCTCTAGCTACCGATCGCCTATATAAGTCGCAATTCTGCAGAAAATCGTTACTCTTTTGTTTCACAGGGTCGTTGAGGGTTTTACACATAATTACATTCGTTACAAGATGATGCAATCTTTTATAACTTAATTGTAAAATATGCAAAATATTATTTATTTTATGTTACGGTGACACTAAAAAAAAAAATATGAAATAGAAGACTGGTATGATTTGACCGTGATAAATTAAATTTTTTTACGGTTAATTGAATTTAGGTTACAAAATTTATTATGAAATTGTCGAATTTTTGGATTGGGAAATTTCGTTTTAAATTAAGAAATGTTAAAATTATTAAGTTAAAAACATTTGATTTTAATGACACTTAAAATTAGACACAATATTATAGGTTACTAACTAAAAATTGAAAAAAACAACAATAAATAATAAAAAATAATAATAAAAAATTGAAAAAATCAAAAAATTCTTAAAAAATTGCAAAATAACCCTTTTTCGGGATAAAATTGCAAAATAACCCTTTTTCAGGTTAAAATTGAAAAATAACCCTTTTTCGGGTTAAAATTGAAAAAAGATGTTACATAAAAATAGTTTGTAAGATTTTCTAAAAGCATATATGCAAAGTATTTTGATTTATTTGAAAATAATTGAAAATAGATTTTTCAAGGACGGTGTCGAGGTCACGGGGTCGGTGTCGTTTTTCGAAATTTGTTAACTTAATATAGGTAATAGAAGATATGCAAAATATTATTTATTTTATGTTACGGTGACACCAAAAAAGTATGAAATAGAAGAATGGTATGATTTGACCGTGATAAATTAAATTTTTTTTACGGTTAATTGAATTTAAGTTACAAAATTTATTATGAAATCGTCGAATTTTTGGATTGGGAAATTAATTTCATTTGTTTTCATTATATATTTAAACGAACATTGTTTTTTTTTCAATATTCAAAAGAAGAATAACCCATGAAAATCGTGAATTTTCAAGCCCAATGAGATTCCGTCGCGCGGAATTCCGTTTTCGCCTGGAGGAACTTTGAACCAGCAATGGCCGCCGTTTCGCTTCCGCGACCCGTGAAATTTTCATATAGAATGGCGGGCTGGCATTGTAGACAACGGCAGCGGAGCGAGTCATATTTAAGAAACGTAATAAAGTGTAAGATATGTGCACACAGGCGATGCATTGCCACGGACAAAGTCTTTCCCATTCTGTCGCGTTTTTCTTAAAAAAAAAAAAAAAAAATAAGAGGAAAAAAATCCGTTTAATCTCCGTCGCCTTTGGGGTGCGAAACTTCAAATTTAAACTTGGTCTACTCCCCCACTTTTTTTTTCTCCCACGTACACGTCTTTCTTGTAAAATATTTATTGCGGAACATCCCCTGCTTATCGTTCTCTCACCAGACAGAAGCTTCACAAGGAACTCGAAAAATGTGAACGAGAAAGAGAGAGAGAGAGAGAGAGATGGAATCGGAACTGTCACCCAATATTTTCTTTTTCTTCTTCTTCTCTTCAGTATGTATCCCTGGAATATGGATAAAAGAAATATAAAAGTCGTTTGAGCGCTTCGCTTTTTATGATCGAATCTCGCATTTCTTTCTTTTCTCGCGACAGATGAAAATTTATAGGCAAACTCTCGTGAAGCTTTCAGAAAAAATCTGTAAATCTAATGCATTGTCCATTTATCTGTATTAGCTTGAATTTCAAACTTGATTCTGAATGTCCTCTTTTTAACATTCGAGAATATTATTGGAAGGTATAATACTTTTTTTTACGTTCAAAAAAAAAAAAAAAAAAAAGGAAGCTATTATTTATTGGCACGTGTTATGTAAAGGGAATTATTATTTATAGAAAGAAGAAGGCGTTTATTATTTTTAGTATTTATAAAAAAGATATATTTATTATTTAATACTTTTTTTTGATAATTAATATAAAAGTAATGATAACTATTAAAGAAAATTGTATTTTGTCTGACGAAATTCTACTATTACTACTGAAAACTTAACAAGCATGTTATGGCTGATCAAAACCAACTTTTACTACTAAGAATTCAGGCCCAATATTTTAATCGTATCTTCTTCACTTAAAATTACTACTACCAATTTAAAAATTTTAAACCTAGAAAAAAAATAAGGCATAAAATCATATAGCATGTGACATACATATGTTGACATCGTATTTTATTATTCTTAGAGTACCTATAAAAGTACCTATATATTGCTTGCAACTCATAATAAAAAAATATATATACACTACGTATATAAAATAACGTATTTCATTATTATCAAAATTTATGTTCACATAATATTTTGTGGTTAGAAGAAAAAATATTTTGAGAAAAATATATTTGTAAAGAAAAACAAAAAAAAAAAAAAAAAAAACAGAAAACTTTTTTTATAGAGAAGGAGGTTACTAGTGGGTCAAGAGTTTGAAATACATCCTTGAAAAACCCCCACACACACAGATTGCACGTCATGTCGCGAGGGGGAGATGCCAAAGGCGGTCAAAGAGGAAGTGCGAAGTGGAAGAATTAAATCGTATTTCAACGTCAATGCAGCTTCGCTGACTGGAGCTTTGGGAATACTCCAGTCACGAGCGGAAATCCGAACTCTGCTACATAGCCATGGAACGCAATTTAACTTTTAGTCGTGTTCGCGAAGAACCACATTCCTCTAACTCCTTTCTCATTTCTCCCTCGTTCGTCGACTCCTCATTTCTTTGATTATCTTTATATTTTTACACTCATACTGATGTTTATTTTTTTTCTAATTCACTTTATTTTACTCTTAAAATTAATTTTTCAGTACAGTGAAACCCACGTTTATCGTACCGGTGAAAATTTTTTTGAAAAATGAAAATATAAAAAAATTACCGACATAGAATTCTACATTACCGACTGATGGGAAAACGGGTTTTTTTTCGAAAAATGAAAATATAAAAGATTACCGACACAGAAATCTACCTTACCATCGGTCGGTAAGGTAGATTTCTATGTCGGTAATTTTTTATATTTTCATTCTCCCTGAACACTAATCGATAATTTAAGCATCTGTTTTGTGATTATTATTATTATTAATAGTTTTAAATATTGTTTCACGTAATAGAGAAATACATATTCAATTTGCGGATAATATAATAATGAATTAAGTGATAAATTATATGATATTGTCACTCGTGAATGTTGGGAGGAAATGTAAAAACATATTTTCGGTGAGTGAGTATCCGGAAATTTGCATTCCTGGGATAATAAATTTGTCAGGATGGAGTCACGAAACTAGTGAAATAACCCGCGCAAACTGCACTTGGAACGTCGAATCGTCCCAATGCAGACGTTACGAGCTACCATTGCCGGAAGAGAAGGACGATTATATTTCGACTGCAAAGAGGATTTGCCTTGTCACCTGGGGAGCAATTTCATTGCGTGATTGCATATAAAGCATCCTCCAACGAATTTCAGAACACTTCATATCAAACAAAAAGGAAAATTTCTACTCATCTAACAAAAATTTGAATAAATTTTGTTTGTAAACGTTTACCTTCTGTTAGAATAATAGAAAAAAAAAATTCTCTTGTAATATTTTTAATATCAATTTTATTTAAAATTTTAATATAAGTAAATTAGGTATTTCTTTTTTTATAATTTTCTGTTTCTTTAAATTTTCAGTGTTGATGCACGTGGTAGACGTGCAATTTCCAATGCACGTTTATGGTCATCGCCATTGGCATTGGGTCCAAGAGCTTATTTTATTGCGACAACAGAATCGGCTCATTTAAGTATCGATCGATTATCATTGAAGGACGAGGGGACTTATCGTTGTCGTGTGGATTTTGAGACATCACCGACGAGAAACGAAAAGATAAATCTGACAGTAATCGGTAAGCTCTTTTACTAATAGAAAACACGATAAATACACTTTTTGTTTTATCATTTTTTTGGTGAGAGACAAAAAGAAGACTTAGATGTGATATTCTTTCGGTGGTACAAAAAAGAACATAAAAAAAAAATTGTCCTGATAAAAGGACTCGTCTGAAAAAGAGACTGGGATGATAAAAAGATTTCAACGGGTTTCAAAGATTTTATTCTTCATTTATCAAACTCAATTTTCTCCTTTTCATTACCTTGATAAAGAATTTTTCCTTAGTTTTTTCGTATTTTTAAAAGAAATGGAAAGAAGAATTTTTATTAAATAAGTATATTTTTTAAAAATCTGATAATTTTTATTTGATAGTTAAAAAAAGAAATTAATTGGAAAAATGTAGAGAAAAGAAAATTAAATTTGTTATTTTAGTGAAAGTTTGAATTTTTCTACTTGGAATCTGTTGATTTTTACTACTGAGAATTAATTATTTTCTGACATTCACTACTGAGATCTAATCTGACTTTTACTACTGAAAATCCACTTTCGTCTGACCATTATTGACTTTTACTACTAAGAATTTAATTTTATTTCTTCAATAACCTTTAACCTTTTGAATTTGGAAATGCAATTTCAAATTGTTATTGATTTGTAATAATTATAAAATTTTTACTAATTGTTTAAAGGAAAACATTTTTTTTTTCAATAATATCGAATTTATTTTGCATACAGTATCTCCTGAACGGCCAACTATTCGAAATGGTTCAACGAAGGAAGTTATCACAAGAATTGAGGAGCCATATAACGAGGGCAGTGACGTGAATCTGATCTGTGAAGTTCATGGTGGAAAACCACCTCCGAAGGTTACGTGGTTTCTAGAGAATACGGTGATAGACGAGTCCTATCAGTACAAAGACAACGAGGATGTGACGTTTAACCACTTGTCCTATCCAGCAGTTGGACGACAGCATTTGCAAGCGAGGCTCATCTGTCAAGCCAGCAATACCAACTTAGTGCCAGCACAATCTCGTGTTTTGGTACTCGACTTAAATTGTACGTGCCAACTTAAATATTTTAACAAAACAATTTTTTTTTTTTGAAAAAAAACTTTTTACTTTCTTTAATTTTATTTGTGGTTATGAATACAGTCAGGGTTGGATCGCTATTTTTTAAATAACACCAGCGCCACCTATGCACGGACGTAACGAAGCTTCTCCTAGTGAAACCTAATTACATTTTTAGATAATCAAAAGTAGCGACCTCGGTGCATTGGCAGGAACAAAAAAAAATGTCATGTGAATAAACAAAACAGGTTGTTTAATATTAATGATGAATAATAAATAATAACTTTTATAACTTTAATTGTTATAAAAAATTTCTTATAGTTGAAAGAATATCAAAGTTTTGGAACAATACAATATCAATAATAAATTTCGTCAATGCCCTTGTTTATGGTCCATTTAAAAAGTTTACGATATGTTGTAGAGTTTTGTAATCGCTATTGAACATTTTTAATAAAAAGATCAATATAAAAGTTTCACATTGTAGTATCTTGAAACGACTTATAAATATGTTGTTGACGTTTATTGAAGATTGTCCAACAATATTGGATTTTTCTACTTATTTATAATAAATCATTTTCTTTCAATTTTGTTTTTTCTCCCTTAATTTCTCTTTGAAACACACATTAACTTTTTCGGTCAATTTCTTACGATAGTTTATTAATAAACGTTATTTTTTTTTTTTGCGATAAAAACTTTTTCACGTTCTATAAAAGGAAAAAAAAAATGTTGTAGATTAAAAAGTAAATTCTTTTTAATTTTTTAAATTAAATAAATTTTTAAAGAGTTATTTGTATAAAATAAACTCTTAATTAGAATATGGATTGCATGACAAAAGAAATGAAAGTCATTAATAGTAATACATTTATAAATATATATATAGAGAAAGAGTTTTAAAGTACGAGAAATGTGTGAAAATTCATAGGAAATAAAGTTGCTTGTTTCACCAGCTGTGGCATGTTGAATTTAAAAAAGAAATTGAACGTGTTTTAAAAGAGAAAGAGTTTTTTTTTTTAAAAAAAAAGAAGAAAAAATTTAGGAAAACTGCAGCAATTTGCAGTTGATGCGATTCCTAGCGGATGTTTCGAACGCCTTTTCTCGTGGTCCTGACACATAGGACACGCTGTTCTCGTGCTGAACCTGTTAGTTCCTGTTGAAGATCGGGTGTCGGAGATAACGGTAACGCCTCTCGTAAGACGGATCAGTGAATCGCGTGCTTTCACATCTTTCTCTCTCTCCTTTTCTCTTTTACTCTCTTTGTCTAACTTTCTCTTGCTCTGATTTCGTGCTCCAAGCTCACACTTGGAACTTACCTTCCGATCAAAAAGCTAATGGACAAAATACTGCAGCGAACATGCCGCAGGTAACAACGAACGACACGACAGGGTAGAAACTTACAATAAACGATAAGATTATTTTCAGGACGAACACGCGTAAAACCATTAGCACTTACAAGGGAGGTTGTTAAACTTACACAATTCTTTACATGGTTCTTATTTTTAAAATTCTTTCTTCCAATTTTCGTAGAAGCTACACTAGTTCTTTATTAAACATTTTTGAATAATAATTAATATTTACTTACTAATTTATCGTTGAATTTAACAAAACTTTTATTAATTTTTATTTCATCTATTTGAACTTGAAGTAATTAACATGATACATTAAATTAACATAAAAGGTATATCATTTGCCATGGAAAATTTGGTGGTAAAATGAAAAATAAACATTAAATGAATAACTTATTTCGTTTGTATACAAAAAAAATGTTTGAGGAATTTAAGCATTACTAATTTATATATGTAATTTTCCACTGTTCACAAGCTTTCAACAAGTAAATAATTCCATGTATAGTGATTATTCGACAGACTCCCAAGTTAGTTGATGCAGAAAATTATGGAAACACAGCTATTTACATTTCCCAAACTGATAAACATTGAGAGTTCGGTTTACATTACCGATATTCATTTTACTAATTAGCGAATGAAATTCTCTTTTTGTTCCCACGAAACGAATTGTAATTCATTCCAGTTTCCATAATGTCTGATGACCCAGTACTTTTGATAATTATATTTTATGTTGCTCGGAAACAATTTGATTAACAATAAGTCAATACATCTGCTTTCGATTAATACAAAACTCAATTTTAATTGTTTTATATCTATTAATTATACCAATTTTGTTTATCAATAGATATAAAAACCCGAACTACTAATTAGTAATGTTTTTTTTTAATTGTTTGAATCTAATAAAATTTTTAACATCAATTTCTATTTTTGAGGATGGAGAAAAATTAGAACGTGACAAAGAGACAAAGATTAGGTCTGTAATTTAAATCCTATTCGAATTTACTTGTTTGTTCTCTTCTTGTTAGGAAGTAATTTCAAAGATCTCAACACAGAAGTTCTCTTCACGAATCCTGGATTACAAATCCAGTTGTTTTCGCTTCCTCAAGTTACTCCCTTAAAATGTTACAAGGATCTTTCGAGAAAATTGTTTATTTCACTAAAGAAGGTCTCACATTTTCATATTACAAAAGAAGTCTCCTTTTTTTTCTTGGAAAATGTATTAGTATGTTTGACACAAAAATTTTTCTGTGAGAATTACAAAATTTTCAGGGGCCATAATTCATTTACAATAAAAAAATTAATTTCAATAAAATCGCAAAATAAAAATATAATTAATGAATTCCAAAATTTTTCTTCGAGTCTCGATACTCTACGACATAGCAATAGTTAAATTTATAGAGATAAATGTTAAAATAACTTCATTAGCTTTATGATATGCAAAAATAAGAGAAATTATAATTTCAATTAAATTTAATAAAGAAACTTTACGAACGCGACATTTTGTATCACACTATAGATATATACACTTTCTCTATATATATATTTCAATCAGAAAATTAATATAACATCAAAAAGTAGAAATAGCAGTAGAACAAGAACAAATGAGAACGCATTTCTTTAATTATAGGGGAATATATCTTGCCGATTTCTTGTTTTCTTTATTCATTTTTTTATGTTTAATCACATCGCTCACAAAACTTTTTTCGTTCATACAAATGCACCAACGTCACAGCAGACGTTACTTTTGATTTTCCAAAAATGTAATCGCACAAAAAGTTAGGTTTCACTACGAGAAGCCTCGCCACGAGAAACTTGCCTAACCTGAACTTTATTGCGCGCGTGCGCACAAACTCAACGGTGGCGCTACGGCGCGAAAACTGTTTGAATTTGAATAATTACAGAATACAAAAAAAGAATAAATAGACAAAACTTTCTTAATCGTATTATTTTTAATATTTAAAAAAAATACACTAAACGTTGTATAATTATATTCACTATATTTACAAAAGAAAAACAAATGAAGAATAAAATAATACAACTTGAAATAATTCTGCAAATGGAAAATAGTTTATATATATGTATATGCATTAAGTGAGACTTAAATGGAAATGGAGAAATTAATTCACTTTTGCCAATTGGATAAATTGTCGGATTCTCGATTCTCCAAGTTGTATTAAAACGCTAAGCGGTCTACGTGTCAACACGCGATGTCTGTTTCCTTCAGTACAACAGGGAGAAATCAGGTGCTGCTGATGGGTTGCTTTCCATGCAATCGCATTAACGTGTACAATTACTGCTACTGCGTTGTCTTCTGATGACAGACTGACAATTATTATGGCAAAGTGAACGTCTTTGTTAAATCCATGAGATCAGCTTCGATAAATTCTGTCTCTCTGTTTTCCATTTACGTAAATTACATAATACATCATTTAATTAATTAAATTCCATATTATTATTATTATTATTATTATTATTATTATTATTATTATTATTATTATTAACAAAAAATTAATAACAATCGTAAAATAAAATTTTGTGTTTTCAACAAAATTATTTTAGCCCTTTTTCCATCAGTGTATTAAAAAATTATTTTCTCTTATTGCCTGATTTTTTAGGCAAAAAATTGTTTATTGATAATAAATATTTTTCTCCTTTTTAAAACAAAGTTTTCTTTTTACTGAAAAATAATGATGAAAATTTTTTTCTTGATTTTAAAATAATTTTCTATTTTGATTTCAGTCCATAAAACCTTTTTTCTTAATTAACTTCTTTTGTAACTTTTCTAAGATTTAAATTTCTGATACAGTTTTATTAATTAAAGGTAAGGTAATTAAATTTTACGAAGAATTGTTTATTTTGGTGTATACTCAACGTTGGATAGAAACTTTGTGAAGTAATAAACTGTTAATTATAATTAAAGATTTAATGAATGTTAAATAGTTTCATGAGTGCCAGTATATTATTGATTATTACTGAAAGCTTTTTTTTTTTATAAAATTTAATTGAAAATAAAAATGAATATGTGAATTATAGAATATTAATTTTTTTTTCTCCATGAGGAATATTAATTGTAAGATAATTAAATTAAAATTGTCTGAAAGAAGAGGATAATTAAAGTAATGCGTCCGGTTTACTGATAACATTTTGTAATGACCCATAAATGCCTTTATAATGTACTAATTGCGTCGTCAAAGGATATCTCATAAAAGGAAGAGAATCCATATTCTAAAATATCTTGCAATTTAATTTTACCTCGTTTCTATTTTATAAGCTCATTATAAAGTATGAACTCATTGATTTCATCTATTTTTTATCACATCATAAAATCCAATATTAATTAGCTTCAATTTTAATTAATTTTATTTGAATTATTTTTCACTTTTTATTCACTTCCTTTCTTTTTTTTATATTTAGCTCTATTTTTCTATCCTCTTCTTTTTTTCTCGTTATTCTTATTTTATTTTGAATTGTTTTTTTTTGTGTCGTCTTCAGAAGTTGAAGTTTTTGATTTTATTTGATAAAAATTTTGGAAAAAAGAATAAAAATTAATTAATTAACAGTAAAGTAAAAATAAAATAAAAATTGGGAATAAAATTTTTCGTGACTGTGTAAATTAGTAGAAATATAATTTTTACGTGAAATGTTCGTGACAAAGTTTTGCAAAAGTTACAATGAGTTCTAACACACTCGACACTGTCGTTATTTCCGGTTACTAAAAACAGAAGCGTGTCCAGAACTTGAAATTTTTTTATTTTCTTTTTCTTTACAGCCACTAATGTGCCTTTAACATTCGACAATAATTAAGAATTTAAAGTCTTATCATGCAAATTTAATTTTTATTACCACTTCAGCATGTACTAAATGTAGAATATTATTGTACTTCTAACTAAAGGAGTTCTCTTATCTTTTTACAAGGATTGAAAAAATTATAATTAACCTATTTCTTTTTACCTGATCAAAGTTTAAATATTTTTTTTTTGGTTCGAATAAAAATTCAATTTAAACATTTTTTTTTTTTTTGATAATTAAATTAATAATTGTTTTTCTTTGTTTACACAGTGAAACCGCATAAAGTACAAATTTTGACGAAAGAGAAGAAAGTAAAGGCGGAGAAAAAATACGAGGTTGAATGCAGAGCTACAGGCTCAAAACCGGAAGCTGTGATAACATGGTGGAAGGCTAATGAGCAAATGACAAACACTCAGACTGTAAGTTAAAAAAAAAAATTTTGTAAAATTTTATTTTGTAATAAATAGAAACAATAAATAATTTAATTTTTAAAAAGCGTTATTTTTTTTTTTTTTGCAAAAAGAAATGAATTTTGAAATGATGGAAAATCAGTTTGTTCTGATAACGCATTTGACATGCAAAATTCAAGCCTGTGGATAGAAATTTCTATACTGACCAAAGAATTTCGTTTCTCGATATTTTTCCAATCACAATCAATCAAGTATTCATTTCCCCAGTGTAGGTCGTCTGGAAAACGTATTTTTCCGTTTGGTTTTCCTATTGCAATACGAGATTCTCTTTCATTCCACTTTTACTCAATCACCTTCTTTTAGCTTTTCATTTTTTTTTTAAATTTTTTTTTACATTTTCATATTGGCATTTTTTTTTTTTTTTTTTATTAATTATGTCACTTTCGTCGCTGACCAATAAATTGACTTAATACAACTATAACTTATTTAATGCTAAAAATCTGTTAATAAAATTTTAACAATATCGAATTTTTTTTTAAGCTATTAAATTTATTTTAATAAACTTTTTCTTATATATATATAAAATAATATATAATACTCTAAAAGCACTCTCTATACTTGAAAGAATGGAGCTCCCAAAAGATTTTCAACTTTATGATGTCACTGATTTCACCGTTGGCGAAGCATTTTGTTGTTTCTCTCGAAGAGAGGTTTTGAACTGATTGTGAGAGCTTTCTTCGAAACATTAAGTTTCTCTTTCTCTTTTCCATCTTATGTGTGTATATGTGTTTTTTTCTTTCATTTCTTCTTTCATCTCATTTCCCATAGCTTCTTCTTTCGTTGACACTTCCAAGCTTAAAGTCACTGCAATCATTGCAACACCCTACGTGTGTCATCATGACAAATCCTTTTCGAAATATTTTTACCAAAACACCACAATTGAGATAAAAGTTTTCTTTTATTATAATATTAAATAATAATAATAATAATAATAAATTAAAAATATTTGTTTAAAAAAAATATAAAAATTTTTTTTAAAAGAAATGTAAGTGAAAGAAAAATTGCATACTTTTTTTTGTGAATAAAATAATTATCTCTTTCTGAATTGATGGAAGGGAATGAAACGTGTGAAAAATAAAGAGAAAAAAAAAAAAAAAAAAAAAAAAAAAAAACTTCAGGACGTTTCTGCAAATCTTTACTTGAGAAACTTCTAGGGGTCCGCTTACTTTTCCCATTTGGAGCTGAACACGTTCCACCGCGTGGAATGTGCCTCATTTCTTCCTCTGAAAAGATTCTCACCTCTTTATAAAGAATCTCTAAACACACAAAGGAATTTACTTTTTTTTTTTTTTTTTTTTACGCTAAAGTTTTTACCCCGACATCTTCGAGTCATTTGACACCGAAAAACGGCTGAAATTTCAATTTTTCACTTTATTGAATCTTTTATCAAATGCATATATATATTTCATGTGATAAATCTATCTTTTCTATATATAAAACTTTATAATGCTTTTGATGCTTTGCAAAATTATAGTAGTCTTTCTTAAATTTCAATTCCACTTTTTTCCTTATTTTCATTTTTAATTTCCATTTCTACTTTTTTTTTTTTATAAAAAATATTTTATTTATTGTTAACTATATTTACCATTTAAATTATTATCAATCAATTCAATTAATATACAATCTAATTTTCATTGTCTGTTATAAAATACTCGTAACGCCTGATATAATGCGCCAATATCTATTTTTGCTATAATCTTTGAATACAGGCTTTTATATTGGATCGTTATAGTCATTCATTACACACGAACGACTGCAAAAGTAAAAAAAAAAAGCTCAAAAGCTTCATAAAGCATCTACACTGTGACATTCGTCCTAACGAATATACGTTATCTTCATTCGACATATAGAAATATCGTTAGCTTTTATATTTACACACACATATATATATGTACATCTCTTTAAAAATGATATCGTGAAAATGAATACCCTGCTCAAATCCTTCTTTTTTCATTCGCAAAAATGGTTTTACTTTTCTTTATCTTCTTTTTTTCTATTTCCGATTAAAAAAAAAAATTTCTCTTTTCAAAAATTGTTCTTATATATATATATATATATATATATAGAAATTTCTTTTTAAATCTGAATTTCAACTTTACAGAATTTTTAGGTAACGAATTTTTTATTAATCATCATTTTTATTTCACAGAAGTTTTGGTTTTTGCAAAAAGTTGAAGAGTCATGGTAACAGTTATCATAGCAATCATTCCCATAGCAACCGTTCCCATGACAACCGTTTCCATGGCAACAGTTACTATGGCAACAGTTACTATGGCAACAGTTAGTTACTATGGCAACAGTTACTATGGCAACAGTTACTATGGCAACAGTTAGTTACTATGGCAACAGTTACTATGGCAACAGTCAGTTACTATGGCAACAGTTAGTTACTATGGCAACAGTTACTATAGCAACAGTTAGTTTCTATGGCAACAGTTTCTATGGCAACAGTTACTATGGCAACAGTTAGTTTCTATGGCAACAGTTACTATGGCAACAGTTACTATGGCAACAGTTAGTTACTATGGCAACAGTTACTATGGCAACAGTTACTATGGCAACAGTTAGTTACTATGGCAACAGTTACTATGGCAACAGTTACTATGGCAACAGTTACTATGGCAACAGTTAGTTTCTATGGCAACAGTTAGTTTCTATGGCAACAGTTACTATAGCAACAGTTAGTTTCTATGGCAACAGTTTCTATGGCAACAGTTACTATGGCAACAGTTAGTTTCTATGGCAACAGTTACTATGGCAACAGTTACTATGGCAACAGTTAGTTACTATGGCAACAGTTACTATGGCAACAGTTACTATGGCAACAGTTAGTTACTATGGCAACAGTTACTATGGCAACAGTTACTATGGCAACAGTTACTATGGCAACAGTTAGTTTCTATGGCAACAGTTAGTTTCTATGGCAACAGTTACTATGGCAACAGTTACTATGGCAACAGTTACTATGGCAACAGTTAGTTACTATGGCAACAGTTACTATGGCAACCCTTACTATAGTAACCGTTCCCATAGCAACTGTTTCCATAGTAACCGGTTCTCTAGTAACCGTTTCCGTAGTAACCGTTTCCATAGCAACGATAAAGGCCCCATGCGCCCGCTTCTCTTATATATATATTTTTTTTATTAATACTAATAATTTATAAATGTATGATCGGTTTAAATAAAAAAAGAAAATATATTATTGAATTTCAGTATGGACTAAAGAACAATCATACACTTAGCGTATTGAACTTTGTGCCAAGTATCAATGACGATGGCAAATACTTAACATGTCGTGCTGAAAATCCAGTAATACCTGATAGTGCAATGGAGGATAAATGGTTCTTAGATGTGCATTACCAGCCGGTTGTGACCTTAAGGATGGGAGAACCTCTCATCTCAAAAGACATCAAAGAAGGCGATGACGTCTATTTTGAATGTAGCGTCAAAGCCAATCCAAAGGCGTACAAATTGTCATGGTACAAAGACGTGAGTTCAACATTTATCCTTTAATTAGTCTTATCTCATTATTGTAATATTAATCATGTTCTATAATTTCTCTCTATTGTTCAATACAATATGAAGAAGAAAAAAATTATTATTTTTTAATAATAGAAATAAAGAAATTTTATTTATTTTTTTTTTATCAGGGTAAAGAACTAAAAGGAACGACAGGCATCATCTTGAGTGACCGTTCTTTAGTTCTTCAGAGTCTCACCCGAAATTCAGCTGGAGATTACACCTGTCGAGCTGTCAACAACGAAGGGAAAACAGACAGTAATCCTGTTACTTTGCAGATAATGTGTAAGTCTTGGAATAATTTTATGAATAAAAGGGTTTTGTTAAATATTTACAAGAATATTTTATTCAAAATAGAATGCGTGTCCTGAATTTTCTACTATATATAAAATGTTTATTAAAATCAGTTGATAGTATAAGCATTTGCATATTGCTTTAAAATAAATTAATATTTAAATTCAGTGAAACACACTGGGTCACAATTTACAGATATATCTCAATTCATATTTTTTTTTTTTTATCAGACAGAAATTTTTTTTAATCAATTCTAACTTAAGAATGAAAATAAATTATTTTAATTGTTAATAGTACATTCAAATAATTATTTCTTTTTTAATAGTATAGGGTAGAATAAATTAGTTACAGCAAATAATAGTAGTTTCAATTAGTCCCACATTTCGTCATTTTATACCCTGGAGAATTGTGTTTAATACCCCAGTAGTTACTACAGTTATATTCCAACAAATAATTTCATTCTAGTAGTAAAGTTTCAGTTATAGTCGACCAAAGACGATCTCATTCAAATGATACGCTTCAAACATTAGTCTACTAAAATTTTTCCTCTTAAAATGTGCCTCGTAGGTGGCAACACTTTTTAGTGCCAAAAAAAATTTTTCAGAAAAAGAAAAATTTATTGAGACAAATTTCCTCACATTATTCTAAAAGGAGAGATAATAACGATAGAATAAATGCAAATGAAATGTACTAAATAGAAGGGCCAATGGAATGGTGTATGTGAAACAGTTTTCATTCTCCTGTGTCAGATTGTGTAACGTGAGGCTCTAAAGTCCTTGAGAGAAAGAGAACACTATTATGTACTATATATATATATATTGTATAGATTTTCATAGGTGCAAATGAAAGGATCAGAACAGAAACGATCGAGTTCTATTATCGAAACATGGTTTAAAATATCATGGTTGTTACTAAAGTCAGTTCACTTTAGTTTCAACTTTCACCATTGCGCCACCGCACGACGAAAACTGACACCAATACATGGCAAGGACTATACTCTATGGCTTAGCACCTTGCCAGGCTGCGTTCACCCACACATAAATATTCAGCTACGTTTTACATACATTGAATATGCATCGCAGTCCTTCCTACCCTCTTAGGTCATTTACAAGATGCAGATACGCTAGGCTACCACTGGGGGGTACTACTATTCTAATAGAATAACCTGTGCTCTGTGTTTCAGAGAAAACCGCTCTGTCCCACGCCCCATTCTCCTTCCAAGTTATTCTCATCCCACCATCACCTCTTTTCTTCATTCCCTCTCTTTGCAAAAGCTCAAAACTTCTCTTTCTCTCATCTTCAACCTCGACTTGAGGCGGCGCTTCTCCTTTAATCCTGCCCTCTCCCATTTCACTCCTCATTCCCGCATATATAAACTTGAACCAGCTACTTGCCAGCATCATCGATTAAGTAATTATCAAACGAATCGCGCGAGGGTTCTTCACCGGACCTACTGGCAAATTAGCAAAAATTTTATTCAAAGATAAGACTATTAATTATTTATCGACACAATTATATTTGATGGATATATTCATCTCGTGAAACTTTTTATTAATTATAATTAATTAAGAGAATTTTTTTTTTTCACACACATTTGCTTTTACTATTTTGAGAGCAAAATTTATTTGAAAGTCTTACTGTCTGACTCTAACTGATTTGAAAATAGATAAAATTTGAAGACAGTTTTTTTTTTAAATTCAATGAATTTAGGAAAAAAAAGTCACAATATTGGATCAGCCATTAGGAATTTTTGAAAATTGAGTTTAGATTCGTAATCCCCTATCCCAAAAACCCCCCAAGTAACAAGTTTCAAGCGAAGTAGATCAATATTTTAAATTCTGTCCGCCATATTGGAATCCGCCATTTTGAATTTTTGAAAACTAACATTGAATTCGGAATCATCGACCCCGAAAACCCCCGAGCTACAACTTTCAAGCAAATTCGATCAATTTTTTCAATTTCGTCCGCCATATTTGATACGCCATTTTGTATTTTTAAAAACAGACTTCAAATTCGCAATCAGCGACCCCAAAAACACTTGTGTAACGAATTTAAAGTGAATTAGAGGAATTTATTAATTTTCGTCCGCCATATTGAATCCTCCATATTGTATTTTTGAAAACAGGCTTCAGATTCGCAATCAGCGACCCCGTTAACCCCCGGGTTACGACTTTCAAGCCAATTAGATCAATTTTTTCAATTTCGTCCGCCATATTTGATACGCCATTTTGTATTTTTAAAAACAGAATTCAAATTCGCAATCAGCGACCCCAAAAACCCCCGCGTAACAAATTTCAAGCGAATTAGAGAATTTTCTTAATTTTCGTTCGCCATAATGAATCAGCAATTTTGAATTTTAGAAAACTGACATTAAATTCGTAATCCGCGACCCCAAAAACCCCCGAATAACAAGTTTCAAGCGAATTCGATCAATTTTTTAAATTCCGTCCACCATATTGGATACGCCATTTTGAATTTTTGAAAACTAACATTAAATTCGCAATCAGCCACACCGAATACCCCTGAGCTACGACTTTCAAGCAAATTCGATCAATTTTTTCAATTTCGTTTGCCATTTTTGATACGCCATTTTGAATTTTTGAAAAAAGACTTCAAATTCGCAATCAGCTACCCTAAAGTCACTTTTGTAACGAATTTGAAGTAAATTAGAGGAATTTTTTATATTTTGTTCCGCCATATTGTATTTTTGAAAATAGACTTCAGATTTGCAATCAGCGACTCCGAAAACCCCCGGGTAACGACTTTCAAGCCCATTCGATCAATTTTTTCAATTTCGTCCGCCATATTTAATACGCAATTTTGTATTTTTAAAAACAGACTTCAAATTCGCAATCAGCGACCCCAAAAACCCCCGCGGATCAAATTTCAAGCGAGTTAGAGAATTTTTTTTAATTTTCGTTTGCTATATTGAATCCGCCATTTTGAATTTTAGAAAACTGACTTCAGATTCGCAATCAGCGACCCCAAAAAGCCCCATGTAAAGAGTTTCAAGCGAATTAGTGGAATTTTTTAATTTTCGTCCGCCATATTGAATCCGCCATTTTGAGTTTTTGAAAACTGACATTAAATTCGTAATTCGCGACCCCAAAAGCCCCTCGCGTAACGAGTTTTAAGCGAATTCGATCAATTTTTTAAATTCCGTCCACCATATTGGATACGCCATTTTGAATTTTTGAAAACTGACATTAAATTCGTAGTCGTGGCATATATTTTGACATTATACAGAAATTATTGGTACGTCATATGTAACTATTTCCCTCCTAACAACGGATATTTCAGAATACCCTATGGATGCCCTAGGGATATTATTAGATCTAGGAAAATAAGGAATTCCCTAAGATGTTCCTAGATTTAAAATCCTAGGAATATCCAAATTTTCCCTGAAAAAATAACATCCGCAAGACCTCCTGAACATCCGGATGCTATTAAGAAAATAATATTTTAATAAAACTACTTCTAGTTGTAATTTTCTTTTTCATATCCAAAGAATTTTTTTTTTTTCAAATAAATTTACGATCTTTTTGAAGAAATTATAGTTCACGAGCTTTATAAACTATACTTAAAGTAAATTATAGTCACCAAGTTTTTTTTCCTTTAAAGTGACAGTAAAGGCCTTCTTAAATGAAAATGCAAAAGTTGAAAATAAATTTTTTTATGACATTCATAAAATCTGTTGATGTTAAGAAAAAATATGATAAGCTGTTTAGGTTAAATTTTCCATGCGAATATAAAATTATTCTATATATACTTGGATGCATTAAAAATTGTCAATATTTCTATACATATATATATATATATATATATATATTTTTATTGCAAATGGAATTTTCTTCTCAGGACATTGACATCTCGTAATCAACAATCAATAATTTTCGCATCCATCGTAAATCATCAAATCGTAAATCTCGATATTATATATCATTCTTTCCCTGATCGTAAAATTTTTAATTTCTCGATCGTAATATCGCGAAAAACTGTGAAATCGTAAATCACAAAAAATTATATGTCAAAGAGTTGTAAAGACTGATAATAATCAGAAATATCAATGTGGCTTCAAAAAATAGGTTAAAAAAACATAAATATTTTAAACAATATTTTTAGAAATTTAATAAAAATTTGGAAATTTTTTTTTTTTGATTACAGATACGCCAATGTGTAAAGAAGGAAAAGCAGAGGTGGTGGTTGGTGCCTTAAAACAAGAAACTGTATCATTATTGTGTGCAGTTGACAGTCATCCTCCACCTCTGACATTCCATTGGACTTTTAACAACTCCGGGGAGTTAAATGAACGGCCGGAGCATAACTCTATATTAAACTACACGCCTGCCACAGATATGGATTATGGAACGATTGCCTGCTGGGCGAGTAACCAGGTGGGCAGACAACGGACGCCCTGCCTGTTTCAAGTGAGTCTCCACTTTTCAATCTTCTTATTTTTATTCCTGGAACAATTTATCATAGCCCCCATTCCCCAATTCTCATTTCGCTCGTTTCACTGACGAACGGACCGTCGATCTTCACCAGCGAGACTGAGAGTTATATGCATTGCTTCTTGATAGATTAATTATCATACTCAACAAGACATCTGAATTTGGTTATAAAAAAAAAAAATAATTTTTATCTCCTACAATACCTTCGTTCTTAATTAAGATAAATATATTCTATGCTAATGTTTCTCTTGTCAATAAATCTTTATGACAAAAAAAAAAAATTACATTTTGTGAATTATTCAATCGTTAATCTGGGTATAGAAAGGCATTTTAATTTTATTCATTGTCCTTTAAAATTCTAATCTTAATTGGTAAATTATTATTTTAGGTAATAGCGGCAGGGCGTCCGTACGTTTTGCATAATTGCACTGCCACTGAAATGTCATCTCCAATAGAATTAGAAGAAATTGGTTCAAAATCAGGAACTGGACTAATGGTTCGTTGTTTAGAAGGTTACGATGGCGGTTTGCCAATTCAAAGTTATCATCTTGAAGTAGTGAGTGACGATGATGACAATGATGGACCAATTATTTTAAACAAAACAGTGCCAGCAAATCCTAGTGGTCCTCTTTTTGAAGTTGCTGGCCTTTCTACGGGAAAAAGTTACAAATTATTCCTCTATGCGGTTAACTCTAAAGGACGCAGTGAACCCACAATATTGGAACCAGTGACTCTAAAAGGCGTCGCCATGTACACCACGGGTGAGTGAATTGATAATTTTATTATCACCAAAAATTCTAGAGTCATATATATATATATTTTTTTTTAAAAAAAAAGCATATATTGATTTTGAAATTGGGTAAATGTTTCTTTTAAAATGAGAATTCAAGATTCGTACTAAAAATGATCCTTTGTGTATTGTATTAAATTGAGAGTGGATATGATTGCAATTTGCGCAAATAGTCGAAGCGTACGCGTCAGTGTTGCAATTAGTTGGTTAACCACCCCCCACACAACCCCGGGGGTGGTTAAAGGACGCGAGGCTTGACTTGTAATGCTGAACGCAGCACAACGCAACCACAGGTATCGGCGGTCTCTGCGGACCTTGCAATTAACAAAACAGATTACTCTCAATCAACGAACACCTATCCTGCAACATGTACTTTGTATACCACCTAAAATATATATACAAACTATTTCGTAATTTATTTATTTTTTAAAGATCTACAAGTTTTTTCAAAAAGTTTTACAGATTTTTTTTGATTTGCTATAATTTAAAGAGACAGGGAATTATTAAAAACAAACAGCATTGAATTTGATCGACCTGCGCATTTGAAGTGTGCCAAAATGCAAACATTGTAAAGAGACTGAAAAATAATTTCTATTTTTGTTTTGCCGTTGAAGGTAATTAGCAAAGATCTCTAACTAATAGTTATTTTAATAATAATTATTGTAACGATTGGGATTACAACCTAAAAAAAAAATTAAGAACGTTTCGTTAATGTTACAAAAAGAGAAAAAATTAATTACCTTCCAAGATGTCTTTATCTGTAACGTAAAGAAGATTTTATGTCTCATCCTTTGCCAAGAATTTAACAAAATGAACGAGGACACATCGCCTACTATCTTGGAAAGAAAAGAAGCTTTGCGTGCGCTTAATTTTCCTAATGGATTAGCTGGCGAATAGTCTAAAGAAAGATTACAAAAATGGCTGCAATTCTCTTGCACCATTGTAATCTTTAAATTCTGTACAATACTTTTACAAATGTATCGTTTTTTTTTCACATTTCATCTCTTGATTTAATAGGGATTTACTGATTCTGATAAACAGAAATAAAAATATATTTCTATTTTTAAAAATCAATATTTGACTAATGAGGTCAAATTGCAATTTATTTTTTGTTTCTGTTTGAGAGCAATGTTTAATCGGAGTAGAAATTTCGTTTAAAAATAAAAATTTTCCATATATATATATTTTTTTTTGAAAAAAAAGCTGGTAGTATTTTATCAATACCACTTCACACAAACGGCCCCCTGAAAGATATGGATTTCGCTGAGTGGAATTCCGTTCAGCTTCGAGTGATTTATCGCTGTCGTTTATCGATGATGGCTTTCAGAATTGCGTGGTAGATCGGCTTACTACTTTTCTCGCAAATCAGAGTTGTGCGAGTTTAGGGTCCGCAAATCAATATTCACACTCGAAGGTGCAAGAGGGTTTCAGGGGTCAAATTGAACTAGGAAGAGAGAGAGCGAGAGAGAGAGAGAGAGAGGAAGGGAGGTTTATAAGGTCTCGGGAATCGGAAGGTCGTCGCTGGCGCGTTGGAAATCGCTGGTAAACTGAATTAACCTCGTGTTGACCCGTGACCGTATGTTACCAATGACTTTCCATTATGTAACTCGGGGCTGGAGAGTCTATTACGAGCAGAAACCAGAGGTCCCCTTTCGAGAAGGGACGTGTGGACAAAGTACAGGAGAAGGTGGTGGTTGTGCTGCGATCAAACCAGCAAGTACAAACTAGTCTGATTGGCTAACCGACTATATTTACTCTATAAACTCTCCGATACCGATTCCGTTTACTCCTTCAAGGTGTACTATCACCAAATTACATTTCCTACCTTATAGAGATCAATGAACACATATTTAGCTTCCTCATGAATCATGAAAAATATACTCTAATTATTTACACAAAACTTCGTATTCAATAATTTTGATAAAGTACTTCTCTAAACGCAATCTTTTTAGTGTTAAATCAAAACTATTAAATGTTGCGATTAGTAGGCATTTTTTATTGGTAATTTATTATACTCAATTATTAATTCTCTTCTCGATTTTTTTAAATTGAAAGTGCAAAAGTCTTTTATTGTGAGAAGTGCGAGAATGTGCGAGCTACCAAACAATTTTAGAGAAGATCCCAATATTTAGATTTATATCCTGTAACGTATTTTTTTGACTCTAAAATTACTCTTAAATTTTGATTTCTAAATTTTATTATAACAAACGACAAATAATTCCAATTATCAAAATTACTATACTTGGACGAAATTGGATTCAAACTTTAATACAAAGTGACTTGATTCTGAAACTTAATTTATGTTGCTTTAAATCTTATAAAAATCAAATAACAAAATAAGCAAAACGTTACTGTTATGCTCTGCATCGATGACTGGACCCATGGTGAAAAAACGAGTTATTGCAATTAATTTGAAATAAACCGAACTTAAACTTTAATAATATTTAATTAGAAGTAATTTATATTTTATTAGTATGACTGTAACCACAAAAATTGTACTCAAAACACATGATTGAAAAACTATTGAAAATTGAACGTGTTGACTCAATGAGGATTGGATGGCAAGAGAGTGAGTTTGAAAACTAAATTTTTAATTAACACTAAAATTGACACTCGATGACGCAACGATTTTCTTTAATTTAAACCAATCAAAAACATTTTCCTACCTTACTTCTCCCAGAATTCTGAATTACTAATACTACTTAAGTGACTTTTCCAATATCAAGCCCGCGATACTTGAATATTGGAACCTGACATACCGGAAATTCGACAAAGCCTGCCAATCTAAAACTAAATTAAACTAAATTAATGCAAAATTCCTTAAAAATGGAGCGCCAGTATTTCAACTGGACTTGTGTGTCAAGTATAGGAAATTCTCAAATGCGGTAAACATTAAATCGTTATTTATATCGAAACTCAAAAATACAAGAATTCAAAAGTTTAGTTGCGATTGGTGCAATTGTGACGTCAATCACAAAAAATAACATCACAATCCTAATATAGATTTAAAAGATTATTTTTTGATTTTCAAAAACCAGTGATGAATTTTTCAATACTACATATTGTTAACGTTTGTTAAATTGAATTGTTTTTACTATAATTTCTATTTCTTTATTTCCTATTTCAATTGTGGCTTTATTATTATAAAATCCGATATTCTTGCTTCAATAAAAACGAAATTCTTTTTTAAAAAATTGATACTTTTTTGTAATTTAAGTTTTTTTCATGTCATTTTTCTCGTAATTCTGCTTAAAAGAAGAAAGTATCAAAATTCGATTCCTTGTTTTGGTTGAAAATAAGTTTACAAAGAACAAGTTGGCAAAAGTTTTTCTAATAAAAGCTTTTTAGAATTTAATCACGTAGATGCTAAGAAAGCCAATATAGTAGCTCGATAGTAGCATCAGGTGGTCAACAAACTTATAAGTATAGTTTGAAATCTTGTTTCATCCAAACTATACATATTGTATATATATATATATATATATATCTGCATGAAAACATGTGTAGAAAAGTTTCTCTTTTGCTTTCTTTTTGACGCATGAGATTCAATTTACATAGTCAACTTTTTTCTTCTTTTATTTCTGTCGAAAATTATTTTTATCTAAATATTTGTTTTTGAGCAAGTGCTCATAAATTTTTTTTCAGTTACTTTTTTTTTTTTGAAAATATATAAGTTAATAAAAAATGCTTTTGATTAAGTTTCAACCTTTTATCTAAAAGCTAAAGCTTTGACCTACATGTAGTTTTGGAATGCAATTCTTTTCAAATTGGTTTTCAGTTGCCGCAGAATCGCTTCAATTTCAGAACAAACGTTCGAACTCTGACGATTGGGGAGGGGACACACAGTATCAGCTTTACAAAGTTACCATTTCTAACTTTTTCCTTCGTTTTTATGAAAAACTTATTCACAATATAAAGAAGAAAACTTTTTTTTTTTATATATATATTTATAAAATATTTGATTTTTTACTTTTATTATTTTGTAATTTTGAAAATATTTTAAATGAGTGTTGAAAAAATATTGTTTCTTTAACTTGTCCGCAAAAATAAAAAAACTTGAATGAACTAGACTTTTCAACATTAGCATATTTTACGAAAGTTATAAACCTTTCTCTTCCTAGCGGAGTGTGATAATTTCAAGTATTTCTAAAAGAATTAATGGGCAAAAGTTTTTCTAAGCTTTTTTTCTCCCTCTCTTTCTCTCTTTTTCTCATTAAAACTCTTTAGAAAGACGATGAGACATTTTCACGTTTAGTGAAAACTTGTTATCATTTTTTTTCCCACCTCTTCATTTCCAGTATTTATTTGACCGTTAAATAAAAATTGTATATTAAAAATTTATTATAACAATTTTAAAATTGTGTTCAATTCGTGATTCGCTTTTCGTGTGAGATACTGTCAGAAATTTTGCCGAGATGAAAAAGCTTAATTATACGAATGTGGTAAAAATGTTTCGTGAAATACATCCCCAAGAGCAATTTCAAATTTTAATGATCGCAAAAGTCTGAAATACTCTCATTTTAAATTACATTTTTTTTCACAAAAAGTGAGTTTGAGTTTAAATTGCACTCACTTCTCACCACCTATCAAACTCCAATCAAAGTTTGAGTGTCTATCAAAAATACTGTTACCATTATATACAGTATCTTTTGATTAAACATCCGAGTTTACTAACCAATTTCATCTGTAAAAGAAGTTTTTCAATTAATCTGTTTGTTCACTCTATTAATATCTCACGCACAGAATTTTTTTTTTTTTCCAAAAAGGAGAATACAATAATTATGTAAAATTTAAAATATAATTATTTGATAGAATCAAAGTACAATCATTGCGACAATGTTCTATAGTTGCAGTTACATTCAACATTTTTACTTTAAGAGGGAAGTTTTAATTGCTCTTCATGCTCTTCACGCTTTTTGCTGCTTATCAAAGTCCAATCAAACTTTAACGAGTGCTTATCAAGTGGACTATTTTTCTTCACCTCTCTTAATGGGTGTCCCTGATATTTTTCCCCCGATTTAAATGACATTGGACGACGACGAATTTTCGTTCTTTAATCTCATGTTCCACTTTTATAATTACAATTAAAAACTTTTTTCAGTCGACAAAAAAAAAAAGATTGCTCTCTAAAAAACAGGCAAAAATAAACTCCTAGAGAATCAGAATCACGATTCTCTATTTTCCACAATATGTCAATCATAATTTACACATTTATTGAAAAAAAATTTTAATATTGCTTAATGGTATAAAAAATTTGACAATCGTAATATTTTTTTTTTATTACAAACCTTTAGAATATGTACTATTGTTTACTTGATTCTAATTTTAGACATTACCTGAACTTTGAAGAAAGGTGAAAAGAATTTTTTTTAAATAAAATATGCTCGAGGTGTTAATCAGAGCCCACAGAAAATTATTATTAAACTTTTTTCTCAGTAAAAATTAGTCATTACGTTGTTCTATTTTTTTTTCTCCTCTTTGTTCGGCTGACATTTTAATATTCAAACTTCTCTTTGACTGTAAATCTGCTTGAAATTCTTTGATGATGACCTCCTAACCCAAGTAAATATTTCACTAACATTTTTTTTTTAATCATACAAATTACAATATAATTTTTACCAATTAATTTTTTTTACTCTAATTTTTTACTCAAGAGTTTCTTTATATTTTCAGCAATATTTTTATAAAGTCATTTCCTGCTCTCAAAACCAGTAATTTTGTAAGACACATAGTTCCTTTGAAAAAAAAAAAAAATTATTTCAAAAAAGAGATGTGTAATTAGATTTTGGTAAATATAATTTTAAATGCAAAAGCGTTTAAAGAAGCGTAATAAAAAAAAAAAAAGAAGGGTTTCCTGTGAGTGAAAAAGAACATTGTGGCGAAGATAAAGTTAGAATATATATATAGTATAAATTCATGTTCTTCCATTTTGTAGAATGCCTCCCCACATATATGAAAGGGTTGAATCTAGTGGCGCTGCCCTCTGGGCGCGCACTGTATGTGTTAAATGATGTAATTATATTCTCCTTGTGGCAATGCACACTGACCAGTGCATATATACACATTATGGAAACAGGAATAGCCGGCATATTACGTGTGCTATGTAAAAGGGGGGGGGGGGGCACGCATCTATTTATATACATGCGACAACGGTAATAGCGGCGTAATAGACATACCTTTGTTAATTACTGTCCCGCTTATTAAGCCAGGTACACCATGACTACCACTGATATTGACGCACATGGCTTTATACGGTTACAAGCCAACTTTCCCATATATATATATATATATATATATATATATATATATATATATATATATATATATATATAGTCACCCACAGAGAAGCTGCATCATCGAGAATTATCACCTTCATGACACTTGCTAATAATCGAAAATTTTCACTAATACGTATTGCTGTTTATACCATCTGTTGTTGCTGATTTTTAAGTTTCATTTCGATTAATTTTTTAACTAATTCTTACTGTGATCTAGAGAGGTTAAACCTGTAATTAGAATTCATGCCTACAATCTGCGAGAAAATTCAAGGCCCCTGAAAAATGATAGATTTTCACTTTGAATAATCGTTTAAAAAAAAATTGCTAGGTAAAAACGGAAACAATATTTGGAAAGCTTAGAATCTCACAAGCTTATATACTTCAGGTCGTTTCGCCAAAAAAAAATTTTCTTTCTGACAGACGCAAAAATTGATCAAAATGCACCCTATTTTTTGTTACTTTAGAAATTATCTGACTTTGCATGACACTTTTATATGAAAATCTTCATTGAAAAAATTTGAAAAAAACTATCATTTATTCATTAAATCCTTCGGAATAAAGTTATTTTTGAATTTTTAAAAAATATTAATTATTATTGTTTTTATTGTAAAAAAAAAGAAGACAGTGTTATCTCTCGATCTACTGGGCCGATTTTAATGAATCAAATTTCTCTACATAAATATTAAACCCAACAATTAATTCAATTTGTTGGAAAAAGTGTAATTATTATTCTAGACCTTGACTTATGGATTTTGTCATCGAACGGAACTAGATTTCGTGCATAAAAAATTTTTGGTAATGGCAAATTCGTGGATTCGACTCATTCTGGGGGTTACAAGAAAAAGAAAATTTAATCTGGCTCAACAATTGTAACTATTAATTATTATTAATATGACAGTTCAAAGATACTTATGTAATAATAGCAAAGATATAACCAGTTTAGAAGGATAATTAAATTGGAATGTACTAATAATAGATAGTCGAAATGCAATATGTTCCTTGATTAATTATTAGAATTATTGTATAAATTTCTGATGCTCTGGATTGATTAATAATGCTCTATCTTCTATTATTTATTAAAATTTTTGTTTTGTCGTCTTTGTGACGTCACTTGGCAAAGAATTTTTATATTCTTTTTCAACAATTTATGTACAGATATGATTCAAAGTTAAAATTTAAACATAAATTAAACATATGAATTAGAAAAAAATCTCTTTTTTTATGTTTTTTAGCAATTCACATGTAAAATGCATCCCAATTTTAAATCTCATCAAAAAATATTTATTTTTTAAATAGTTAGTGTGATTTCAAAATTTTTCAAATATCTCCTATTTAATTAAAATGTTTGTTTTGTCATCTTCGTTACATCACTTGACCAACTCATTATATTCGTTAGAATAAATTATTTATTTATGAAAAGTATTAAAGATTTCTTAAAAATATAAAATTTAAATATAATAATAAATTAATTATAATATTAATTTAAAAAAATAAAGTAAATACATATGAATGAACTGAAATAAGTAAACAATAATAAGTACAATTTCAACCGAGCGAGAGAGAATATGACGCTAGTTTTCTATAAACTTACTATTTATTAATTGAAATACAATTTACATCACTATTCCAAATATTTTATGCGCAGATTAAATAAAATTCTTTTACATATTATATTAAAATTGACTTATCGTCGAGAACGCTATTCTCTCTCTGAAAGCTAATATTTCCGGCGTCGGCACACAAGTGCTTTTGTCGTCTGCTAGTCTTTCACGCGTACCACTCATTAATTTCTTAAGTTGGTAATGGCGCGGGAGAATCGTTGAAATTTAAATTATGGATTAATTACGAAAACCACCTGGAAGGACAGCTAATAGTAATAAGAAGCCAAATAACAAATTGGTTTGTTACAATTTTAAAAATTGTTGCATTTTACTATAATATAGTTATTTCCATAACTTTTATCGATTGTAATAAATTTTGTTTCAAAACTTTGACACTTTTTGACTGACGTATATAGACGAATTTTACTGCTTTAAGCAAGTGTCACAGTTAGGTTATGAGAATAGCAGCGACAACGAATTTAATCATAAAACTTGTTATATAATAATCGAGGCTAATTTCAATCTCTAACATCACTTTTTTTTCAATTCACTAAAAATCTAAAATCCCACCTTTTAGAGAATTGCTTTTTAAAGTAATGATAAACAGCAAAAATACTTTTCAACAAACTTCCAATTTAAATGAGTCTTGGATTTGTGCACTTTTTTATGAATTCTCTTTTTAAAAACTGATTGTTTTTTTCGTTTATTGCTATAAAGTATACAATGAGAAGAATATATTATTTATTAGTCATAATAAAATAAAAATTATTTAAAAAATTTGAAATGAAGATTTATTTTTTTTTTCAACCTAAAAGAATACGTGTCTCAATAAAGTTAATTGAACTATGTCATTCAAAACGAACAGATGTTAACGTTGTGGGTCTCGATGGAAAAATTGTGAAACGCATATAAAAACCATGATTTTGAAGGATTTACTTTTTTTTTTATTGAGGTTTTCTATTATCTGTCAGGATTTACAGTTTTTTTTAAAAAAAATCTCTCTCTTTTTTCCCCAGATGTGATATTTTATGAAACTTTAATAGTTGTTTTCAAAAAAAAAAAATTTTTTTTTTATCTTCATTTTTCGTTTACTTCTTTATTTGCAGGTAACACTGATGCGCCATTATTGAGTCCACTGCTCTTAGGTTTGGCAGCAACTGCAACACTATTGGCACTTGCTGTGGCAGTTTTTGTGGCAGCTTTATACCGGAAGCACTCTGGTGGCCGTGGAGGAAGTCCAAAGCACGCTCCTATCGTGTGTGAACCACCTAATGCGGGTTCAACTACTCCTGTACATTCTCAAACTAAACAGGCGGTCGATGATATCGATCCTGACATTATACCCAACGAATATGGTGAGACTTGAAATAATTACTTCAAACATGAATTCTATCTAAAAAAAAAAAATCCCAATGTTTCACTGTGTAATTATTATAATTTTAATTAACTAACTATATTAATGTTTATTTTTAAATTTTCTATATTGATTTTCTAGTTCAATAATAAAACTTTCAAATTTGTAATTTTGTTTTTCTATTTTTAATCCAAATGCATTAAAATTTTTAAATAATATTCTACTTTCATGAATAATAAAAACTTAATTTAACCAATTTGAGATAATATATTATTTCAAAAAAAATAAAATTATTGGATATTTTTTTTCAACTTTAAATTGCAAGTGGAAAATTAAATTAAAATTTAAATGCATGTTTCTAAATATTTAAATATTTTGAAAACTAATTTTAGATTCTTTTAATTAATTGATTTTCAAAATTTAATTATTTCTTTGGATTAAAATAGTTCATTTCAATTGAAATTCTAATTATTTCAATGAAGTTGATAAATTTTTCACTATCTTCCTGAATGTTTTGCCGGATATCAATTTAGTTTCAAAGTTGAATTAATTAGAATTTTTATTTATATCTAATTATTTTTTTGTTTCTAAAATCACAAAAAATTATTTTTATTTTTATCTGTGTAGGCAAAAAAAAAAAATTTGTAATTCTTGAAAAATTCTATTTTCCTAATTAAAACTTATTACTTTTGACTAATAATTTGCGACTAAAATGAATGCATGATTTATTGAGATTGAGGCTGAGCGTATCGCTGAAGGAGAATGCTTTTAAGAGTCGTTAAAACTTCTTTGTGAAATTAATAAAGAAAGTGTTGTGTTAAGTATTTTATTAGATTACAACGAAGCCTTGATGTTGGTACAAGGAAAAAACTACTCTACTTTATAAAGTGGATCGAAGAAGGTTATATATGAATAATTAAAAGTTCCTTCAATAATTGTAAAGTAGAAAAAAAAAATTAATTTTTTCATTATCAAGAAAATCTTTCAATTAATATGTAATAGAAAATAATTATATAAAAAGAATATCTTTCATTCTACTTATTAATAATTGATTTTTTAAAAATTCAATCAGGGGTGAAGAAACTTTTGGTTAGAATTGATGAAATATATCTCTGACAGGAAATACGTGATCGATTTTGTTTGATATGTTTAAGGCGATAGGGGTGGGGGGTGGGGATTTTAATTAAGTTAGTGACGTTACTTTTAAAGGGCTTCGTAAAATCTGTTCGTAGAAAGAAGACCCTTAACGTACACCCCTGTTTGCAAGACACCGCCACAGAGACGAAGAAAAGATCGGACAACAGATGACGCTACCTCACCTGAAAAGAAGCCGATCGTACGATCGACAATGGATCTTCAACAAGATCTAAGATTGGCCGATTCATCGCCAATGCCGACAATAAATTTTACTAACAATCATGTTCTTCAGCCAATTATGTACAGTCAAACGCCAACTATGGCCGATTTTAAACAAATGGCAATGGACGCCTACAATCAACGTAACAATCATAATGTGAGTTATTTTTCTAATTATTATTATAATATTTACTCTCGTATATACGCTGTCGGTTTCTCGAATTGAAATCACATTTTCAACACTCCTATGTCCTAATTTTAATTTTTCAATTTTTACCGACACAGAAATCTACCTTACCAACCAACTGTTGAGGGTGTTCTTTCAAATAAATGTAAATAATTAAATAGCTAAATGTCGAAAACAATTAACAAATAAAAGTAAGAGCAGGGTAATTAATGTTGTTCTTGACAGGCTTTAATGCACGACAAGACTTCCGCTTTAACTTTTACGGCCCAGGGTTATCTATGCTTCTTCGGAGAGTTTAATTACCTCGAAGTTTTCTCGATAATTCGAGAGGGCCAGTTTCGATGCGCGTGACTCGACTCTGGATCTCTCTCTCTTTCTTCTTTATTTTTTTTTTTTTTTTTTTTTTTTTTACTTGGTCTTCTCCAAGGATTGAGAGTTTCTTGAAATGCCTGAATAATTTAAATCGAAATCCATTGAGAGACTTCTGACCATCGGTTTTCCGGAATTCTATTTTTCACTATAGGAATGATCCTCTCAGCGTGCCAGTGGAGAGAAAAATTAATGAAGGCTGACGTTTGTGGATGAGCAATCCTTTAGAGTTCAGATTTCTCATTATTCTTCTCACTTTTCACACAAAAGTTGTTCAAACTATGCATTCTTAACCAGCGGAAAATCGGTGGGAAATAAAAATTTATTTTTTAAATCTCTTTTATTTCCCAAGATTTTATTATATTTATAATTCATTTATCATATATTAGTTTTAATTGAAATAATTTTCAAAAGTCCGTACGAAAATTTAAGTATTATTATTATTATTTTTTTTTTTTTGAATTTAGGTTTATTACAGTCTCCAAAGGGCGAGTAAAGGAATCTCGTCGCTGCAACAAAGGCCAGTTTCTTCGAGTCTTTCAGCACAGGGGAAAATTCATACCCCGGAAGTTGTGACGCGCTCGAATAGAATTCAAGAAAGTTGTATATAAATCTGAAGACTGTCAGCATCTTTTGTACGAGGCCGAGCGTAAAAATTTTGCAAAAAGAAGGAAACTCGTACAAACATCTGTATAAAAAAAAAAAAAAAAAAAAAAAAAAAAAAAAAAAAAAAAAAAAAAAAACTGTAATATCGACTGCCTCTCTGAACCACGAACTTTGCAGAAATTTATTAAGAAATTCTTATACAAAATGGCGGAGACTACAAAAGGTAGAATTCTTTTATTTGATGTACCAGTTTAAAAAAAAAAAAAAACTTATTATCTCTTTTACCGTTCATTGTACAAACTAACAGAGTTATATTCTAAGGCTCGATCGTTTTGACGTGAATGGAGACGTATTTTTTTTTTTTTTAGATATTTAATAATTATCATTTTAAAAGCAGTTATTAAATTTTAAAAATAACTTGTAAATAAAAAAATTTTGTTATCTAAGATTTTATATTATTAGTCTTAAGTTTTTTTTTTTTTAATATTTTCAGAATGTCTACAGTTACAGAATTCAAAAGTTACATAGAACATAGAATTTATAATTATTAATTAATTTTAGAATTATAACGCTAAAAAAAAATTTTCAGTTCATTTTATCAGTGATATCAGTGTGATATCAAAAAAAAAAAAAAAAATTAGAGGATTGTATTCAATTTTTGAATACACAATGAAAATAGCCACACGAATGAAATTTTACACTGTGTTCAATCATGTTTCTTTTCACACTGATTCATGACAATCATTGTTGTCTGGTGTATAAAAAAAAAAAAAAAAAATTTAGCAACGTTTGCATCAAAATGATTGTGCAGTGGCATATTTTTATTGCATCGCGTTTTTTTTTCTCTCTCTCCAATGCCAATGGGCGAGTGCCAGGACAGCGATATTCTAATAACAGGTTGTTTTTCCTGGGACCTAGTACTGTGAAACGAAAAATAATCGAACTGTCAATCGAATGAACATTGTCGACAGTATCTTCTCGCTGACATTGGTACAAAACCGTCATATACACAAACCCTCGTCTCTATTCACCTCAACGACGTTATCTTATATAGATATATATAAATATATATATATATATATATATTAATATTTATACGAGATTAGTTTTTGTACAAAAATTTTATTGTAAATAAGTCTGATGATAATACTTATAGGTAATAGTTACTAATGTCCGAATTTTTCTTCGTAACACGTGAATTTCGAAAGATAAAAACATTAAAAAAAAAAAAATGAATTCGTGTACGAATTTTCAAAGTGAAAAAAAAATTATATGAATAAACGAATTAATTTCGTCTGTTTTTCATAAAAATAGTGTCGTTTTCATTTGTAGTAATAATATAAAGAAAAAAAAAAAAAAAAACATTGGGGGTTTGAAAAAAAATAAGAGCGGGAAAAGGGAAGCTCTGAAATTCTTGTTGTACGTGACACGAATCTCTTTGAGAGGCTACTTTATCGATTACGAACTCTATTTTACGATATAGAGATTCCATGGACCTGTCTGGCTTATTCCCTCGCATGTTGTCTATATTTATTAGATTCTTTTTTCATTTTTCTTTTTCCTCGAGAATTTTTCTTCTATTTTTCATATATATATATATATATATATATACATACATACATTTTCCGTTTTTCTATTTATCATATATTTTTATAAATTTTAGAAAAATAATTTCTTCTTTTAAAGATTAAAAAAATTTTTTTATAATAAATTTTTTAAGAAATAAAAAGTATACAAGAAAAAAGTTTTTTGTATTATTTTAATTTTAATATTTTTTTTTTTTTTTTTGATGCTTTAATAAAAATCTAGATTTATGGAAAAATTTATTTTGTCGCTGAAGTGAAGAAAGAAGGTAAGGAAACATCAATTATTTACTAGAAATTGTCAGAATAAAGTTATGAATGATATAATATTTCATTTTAATGAAAGAATATAAAAAAAAAAGTGTTATTAATTTTTAATAGCAGGGAGTCTGAAAATGAAAATTGATTTTTTAAAACTTAAAGAACATTTTTAAATATTTAGAAAGTAAAATCAGTAGTAAATGTCAGGCGTTTGTCAGACGGAGCTATGCAACGGGGAAAATAATTTAAGTAGTACATACTAGTTTTTGGTCAGACGAATATTTTTTTTTTTTACATGAAATTCATTGTTTTTAAAAAAAAATTTTAATAAGAATTAATTATTAATAACTAAAAAATAATAATTAAACACAATGTATACTTAATTAAAATTGTCAGTAAAAAAAGAAATTGTCACCGAAACAATAAAATAGGAAAGTAAAAGAAACGGGAGTGAAAAATTTTAGTGCAATAAAAGTCAACATTTGTCAGATGGAAAAGAAAATTTACCGTGAAAATTGAGTTTAAAATTTTAAAAGTTCAACCCTTGAAAAATGGGGTAAATTGAAAGGAAAGTGATACTTCTTGGGAGTGAACGCTACAAGATGCGCTAATTCAACCATTTCCAGGAGAGATGCCTGGTTGTTTGCATACATCGTGTGTACCCTCGTCTTGCTAACAGGGCTAACCCAGCACCCCTACCCCATTATTCTATATACGGCAGACCCAGAGTCTCTAGGGCTGTCGAGGCGACCCACTCGTGCCCCCCCCCCCGCCCCTCCTCCTCCTCCTCACACTCTGAAACTAACGCTCCCTCTCAAAACCCTCCCCCTTGAATGATCTACATAATTACGATCCATCCAGGCAGTATTAATCTCGCACGAATGCGTAATGCAGATGCCTTGCGTGACAATGAAACCTTGTAACTTATGCCATTAAGTTTACAGTTATTTGTTTACTCCTTCTTGTGAATATAATAAACGAGCATTATTGTTATTTCACTCCCTCTCAATCATGATATATATATTTTAACAAAAAATCATACTTGATAAACTAAATAATCCTTCATTATTTCCCCCATGATACTAACGATAAAAATTTTTGTTCTAATAATCAAATATTTAATTTTCATTTTTAGGTTAAGTTTTGCGAAATTGAATTCTATTTTACTTTCAAAAGCGTTTATATATTCCTCCATATGGAGAAGTTGCACTAGTTCTTCATTCAACATTTTTGAATAATAATTAATATTTACTTACTAATATATCATTTGGAATTAATAAAAATTTTCCATACTGTTAATTGTCCATGATATTGTAATCATGAGGGAAACTTACCTAACCTGACTTTCCACGCGGGCAAAGTCAACGCTAGCGCCACGGCGCGAAAACTATTTAAATTTTGAATAATTAACAAAAAAAAAAAAAAAAAATTTAGTTACGCAAAATAAATTTTTCTTTATCACAATATTTTCAATTAAAAATTACGTAATTATAAAGAGAAATTTATTTTTAATATTTTAAATTTTTTCTACTTTTGAAATACTTGAAAAAAAAGATAATTTATAAAATAAATTTATTAAAATAAGAAATATTGCAATTTTCAAATAAAAAATTTTAAACAAGAAAGAATCTTTTTTTTTTCATTAAAAGTGCAACGTTTCCTGAAAGTCGAATGTAATTCAAGACGTCGTCGTTAGATTTCATTACTACCTTCGATCGAGACCGCAGACAACTCGACGTTGTGTCATGTCGCAGCAAGTGACAGTGCTTAACTTTTAGCTCGTTCAAAAAGTTTAATCTCAACTTTCCGTCGTCACCTTTGCCGATCTAGGATTTTTCCGTCTTTGCGCGCGCTCGCCCATTTACTGCAACTTGTAGAGTTTTTCGTTTATTCAACTTCTCACAGAAAGTATAGAGCTGGGTTTCTTCGACTCAAAAGAAAATAAGATAAAATAAAAAAAGAATCTCAAGCAAGTCTTTGCTTATATATATAGAGAGAGTTGAGAGGCGATTTTTAATAGATTCGATTTTTTTTCCTTTTTATCAAGTTACTCCGTTAAGAAACTAAAAATACAGTAAATAGGAATTCGTATAATTTAAGTAAAAGTAGAAAAATAGCAATACTTTTATTTTATATTCTTTTAAAAATTTTATTAAACCGCGAAAAAAAAAAATTTTCAAATACATAAAAATAATAAAAATAAAAACAAATGGAATTAAAATTGATGAAGCAATAAGAAAAGAAAAGATCGAAGGAAATCATTCTTAAAGAAAGCAAAATATTTGAATCTTCAAAAGTTATTGAGTTTTTCAGTGGCAAAAAAAAAAAAATGCAAATATCGAACATCTTGTCAAATATTGAATGACGATCGTGCTTTGAATTTTTTTGCTTTATAAAAACGATTTTGAATATATAAGTTTTCTAAAATTCCTTTTCAAACATTGCCATTTCCATTTTTTCCTGATGGGAAATCACTTTTTTCACAAGGAAAAAAAAAGGCAGTAAATCCCTGATAAGTGGTTTCAAAATTTTTTTGGATATAAATAATATTATTTGATGATCAATTATGGTTTTTTTTTTTTTAATTTCATTTCTTTTTTTCAAACATTCATGATAATTTCTTGGTGGACTTCAATGTCTACTATAACAATAGCTCTCATCTCGTTCTCGTTTTGCGTTCGTTAGGAATTGCATTTATCCGCTCGCGGTAATCGTCGTGCCCGAGAAAGCGAAAAGGCGCGCGGTAATTGGCTTCGTTAACGATCACATCTCTGCTGTGAAATTACTGTCCAACGAACCATTTCCAGAGCCTAATGGTTAACAGCCATCGAAATATTTCTAAATATATAAGAGTAGACACTTGGGAGAATGATGAAAAGGGGGCTTATTATTCAAAAAAAATTTAGTCTTATTTTTTTTTATTTAAAAAATTGGAGATCCAATAATTGTTCTAATCAGCTGTTTATTTTCTTATTCACTTCTACTTGTATAGATAAATAAATATTATATATCGTTTCGAAGAAGAATATTTTTACTTTACAAAAAAAAAAAAAATATTATTTAACCTCTTGAGCGAATGGCGTTCTAACATTTATTCACAAATATCATTTTCATATTAAATCAAAAATAGTGAGATCGTTCTGAATTAAATTATGAATTTATGAAATACAGTAAAGTTAAATATATTCGATAAATATTGTTATTGATTTTTCTTTTATTTTATATAAAAATTTTCTTTTAATAATCAAATATTTAATTATTTATTTTTAGGTTAAGTGTGCGAAACTAAATTCTTATTTACTTTCGAAGCGTTTATATACTCCTCTATGTCTCATTTTTGGAGAAGCTGTACTAGTTCTTCATTCAACATTTTTGAATAATAATTAATATTTACTTACTATCATAAGAAAACTTTTCCACTGTTAACTGTCCATGCCTTTTGACGCGAAATAAAAAGTAGCGTCACGCCGGATACGGGGTTTACACGCACGGACAAGAATTGCCATTGACCCTACCTACACGCAACTGCGCTTGCGCTACGACAACTCTCTTATAGGTCGAAAAAAGCGCGCTTATATAAAATGTTTAATAATAAGAAAACGTTAAGAAAGCAATATAAAAAAAATTTTCACTATTGAATTTATTGTTTTTGTTAATTATATTGGTTTCTAATAAAAATATTAATTTTCCTAATATTAGGTATACAATAATAATAATAAATTCAAAGATAAAAAATAAAATTAATAGAATTATCAGTTTGATTTTACTGTCAATTTTTTTTATATCTTTTTACCAAAATGCAATTTATGTTAAAAATACACTTTACTTGAATTACTTTTCCTCTCAAGAAATAACTGTTCTATATTTGTATCTAAATTGCTTCAGAGAAAAAAAGTACTTTACAGAGAGAAAAACACATCCTTGTAAGTAGGTAACACGACGAATCCGCTCAACGTAAATTTGATGTTAGAGTTTCGATTTCCACGAGATAAGAGAAGAAAGAAAAAAATTCCACTTTTGTTTACTTAATTCAAGTCTTGAATCAATCGTTTGAAAATTGGGTGACATAAAAGAATGTAGAAAATATTCATAAATTTTTTTACCCTGCGTATTTATATATTTAAAAAAAAAACTTTTCCCATCGACATAGTAACGAATCTAGTAAAAAAAAAAAAAAAATATCACCCACTTTATATATATTGTACCAACAAAAACCCATCGAACGAAACAAAATATCATCATATACGTTTTTATAGCTGCACACAATTTTAACGACCAATGTATAACGTTAAAATTCTCTCGCCAAAACCAGATGTACATTTTCGGGTTAAATGAGATTTATTAATCAATTTTTATGTGTCTACTTTATTATTCTTTTCACTCATCACCGAGCTGGCATATATTGAGTAAAAATAATTAAATTAATAAAACGTGAAATGTTCCATCTCAGAATCAATAATGGTTTTTAATTAAAAAAATTTTTTTTTTCCTCCGGATTATATCATAATGAAAAATTGAATAGAATTGTATTTTATTGTATTATTTATGAATTTTTCATTTTCATTAATAATGTTCTGAAAATATTTAATTTTAAAAATGTCTGTAATTTTTTTTTCTCTCAAAATTATCAGAATAATTTTAATTTTTTTTGGAAATAAATGAATGAAAAATAAATTTTTTAAAGAAATGTAAAAAAGATGAATTTTGTTTAGAAATATATTTTTTTTTTCGAATCGCAATTGAGGAAAATGTTTATTTACATGAAAATGATGTTTTCAGTGATCGAATGCAGGTTACGT